CCTGCCGTCTCCCCCCCTCCTTCCCCCGCGTCTCCCTCTTTTCCCGGGGACAAGCTGGAAGGCGGGTCCGTCCCGAAGCCGGACCCGCAGGGAATTCGAGGGGGTGGGCAGCGTCCCCACAGGTCCGCTGTAAGCGAGGCAAGGGCGCTGGGACTTGGCGGCATCTCTCAGAGAAGTGCCAGGAATGCCGGTCTCCAAGAGGAATTAAGGCCTGAATCCTCTGGGAGCTTGGGACTGGCTGAAGGGTGACCCGCCAGATTGGAAATGTCACTGCTCAATGAGCTTGGCATTGGATGACATAACTTTAGTTGACATGTGATATGTTTAAGTTGTGGATTTAAGCATCAATCTGCAGTACACGGTCGTTTCAGGTTCCCTGAAAATGTCCTTTATGCAGTTTTTCAAGAGTTTGTTCGGTTGCACCCTGAAGTAATAGAATTTAAAAGAAGGAAAAGAATGTTCAGTGTGCAGGGAACACTGTTGTACTGCACAGGTTTACTGAAGAATGCTTACATTTTTAAATGATAAGCACTTGTATTCGTTTAAGTAAGCATCAATATGAGGCTGAATTTTAGAACTCAAAGGCGGTTGAATTCTTAAAGCAAGACTAGGTGAACTCTAACCCAGAGTACAGGAAGGGCACATCATTTCGTATGTCAAAGGCTAAAGGAATTGTGTCTATCGAGTTTTAAACTAATGGATTTTAGTTTTCCTAAACAGAAGAAGGTACCCATTCTCTATTACCCTCTAATTGTGGCTGTTACAAATGAATGGTTTATCTTCTGGGAGCATGGGTACAAGATGGCACCAAACTTGGTTTGCATGTCACATTGCAGTCCCCTTTGCATCTTGTCAATGCTGGATTAAGAAATTTTAATATCCCATAGTGGCACTCCTGAAAATAAATCAAGTACTTTCTTTTGCATGTCAAGGCCGGATTCAGAAGCCAGCCAGAGCCCACAGTACAGCTTCGAATCTTTACCTCAGAAAATTTGTTTAATCTGTGGGGACGAAGCCTCAGGCTGTCATTACGGCGTCCTTACCTGTGGCAGCTGTAAAGTCTTCTTTAAAAGAGCAATGGAAGGTAGGCTTTTTCCTCTTGATGCATTATTGTTGGTTAGATTGTGAATGGAAACCATCGAGTTTTTTTTCTTTTTATAAATTTCAATGATCCCTTGCTGTTTATGGTTTTCTAAAAAAGCAGTGATATTTCTCTATAACTGACGGTATATGATGAGGTCTTTATAATATGTTTATATTGCTCAAAATTGAATGCTTAGAAATTATCACTATAATCATTTAAATAACACTTTCAATATTAGACACAAATCATAATTATTTTAGGAATGGTACTACTATTGTTAATTAACCATTGCATAATAAAAGGTTTCTTCAAATAGTTGATTTTTATATTTCAGTTATTTTCATGAAGCACTATAAATGCTGTCATTGCAATTAAATATAAATGGATATATGTGTGCATATAATATGTGTGCATATATGCACACACATCTCGAATGCAGTTTTCTGTGTCACTTCCCCTCTTCTCCATATGCATCTTTATGTGATATTTATATAATGATACTTCAAAACAATTTTAGCATTCCTTTATCCCTTAGTATATTTTTGTTGTATAAGAATAGAAACAGCTTGAAGCAAATGAAAACTTTGGACATCACAGTAATATAATCTCCAAATAAATATTTACTGAAGTGAAGCTTTTACTTTTCCAGGTCATTTAAGTCATGCATATATCTAATTTTCTTTAATTGACTTGTTTGAACTGTGTTTCAGAAGTTAACCTTCATAAGAAACATCTTTTAATTTCTCTTTTACACTAAACTCAAAGCAGCCAAAATGTGTTTATATTTAAAGAACACATTTAAACACCATTTCACATTTGACATCTAATAGTAAATACGTTAAAGCCAACTTAAATGAGGTGTAGGGCTCCTCCTGCAGCACTGAGCTCAATCCTAGGCAAGGAACCAACCATGAGAATGTCTGCTTTGGTGCTTCTTGTTTCAAAGTCTTCCGGTTTCAAGATACTTCAGAAATGTCTAGAGAAATGATTCAGAATCTGAGATTTGTGTGGTTTGTCAGTTTGTGTCTTTGAAGAAGAGAGGGAGGTAATCATAGCTTAGAATGTGTTGGAGAATGCTTCATGGAAGAAAGATATTAATAGTTTTAGTTATTAAATGAGTCAGACACAAATGATGCAGACCAATGCATTAAGAAGTGCTTGTGGGGGGGAGTGCTTCCATATGAGTATAATCAAAGAGTGAAACGATTAGGCTGGCTGGAGTTGAATAAGGGAACCCTGGTGGCACAGTTAGGAATCTTGATTAGTGGTTATGTGGTAGGCTGCTAAGGGCAAAGTCAGCAGTTTGAAACCATGAGCAGAACCGAGGGAGAGAGAACGACTAGGCTTTCTACCCCCGTAAAGAGTGTTCGTCTCAGAAACTCACAGGGGCAGTTCTACCCTGTCCTATAAGGTATGAATCAGCAACGACTTGATGGCAGGGAGTTTGGGGTATTTTTCTGTGTGGTAGCACAATGATTAGGTATTCAAGCACTTGAGGGTTCACACACAGGTTGCCATTAAAAAGCTCACTAGGCTTTCTATAGGGAAAAAGATGTAGCAGTCTGCTTCTGTAAGACCGACAGTTCTCTTCTGCCCTACACAGTCATTATGAGTCAATGCGACTTGATGGCAACATTTGTGTTTTTTGTTTGCTTTTGGTTTAGAGTGGAGAATTCATATTCGGATATTGTGGGACTTAAAGGTCAGAAAGTTAAGTTGCTAAGGTTTGGGACCGTTGGGAGAGAGTTGTGATGTAAGTTAAGAGAATAGTGAGACGTTTCCAAGAATGTTCAGGAATGACACAGATGAGTGGAAAGGATTTTTGTATTTGCAGAGAAATATCAGGTTTGATATTTTGAAGCAATACTTTGTGATAAGCTGGTCCACAGCAGGATGTTGATACCAACAAGGTCAAAAGTTAAAAGTCAGTTGAGTCAACAAGGATATTAATGTTATCAAGATAACAGTAATTGTTGTTAAATGCAGCTGAGCAGGCCCTGACTCATGTGAAAACCCCATGCCCAAGGGAATCAGACCATTGCGATCCACAGGGTTTTCTTTGGCTGCATTTTCAGGAGGCATTTCTTCTTGGTGCGTCTTCACCTGGAAGCCTGACTGAATTCCATAAAGATATCTTCAAATACTATCTGTGTGTCAGGGAGTGTTTTAAGCATTTTAACTAAATGATTTCTTTTACTGTACATTAAGAAAGTCTAAGCAATTTACTTCTAAAACATGGGCCAATGAAAAGCCTAGGGATCACAGGTTTGGTTCCATTGTGCAGGCTGTTGCCATGAGCAGGTGTCAGTCTTGAAGGCAGCTAACAAGAACCACAATGTAACAAAATGCCTTTTACAAATGAAGAAACCATGACCCAGCTATGCTAAGTTGCCTTAATGCTGTTAGGAAGCCGTAGAGCCAGGATTCATATCCAGGTAGTGTGACTCCAAAGCTCATGTTTGCAACTCCCATACTGTCTTTGTGACAATAGCAAATGAGGCTGGCGTTTCCAAAAAATAATAGAGGGCTCGTGAGAAAGAGAAAAGGGGTAAGCCAAACCCTGAAATATCTAGAAATGTAAATGTGTAGAGAGGTGAACAGAGAGAAGTATGTAATATCAAAGGATGGATGATATTACCTTTACATGTAGGGCTGTGATCTCGTTAGAGGCTAAGAGCCAGTTTCCCCACTCCTTTTAATGTTGTTGTTAGGTACTGTGAGGACAGTTCTGATCCAGCACTGCTATGCACGACAGAATGAAATACTGCCTGGTTTGCACCATCCTCACAATTGTTCTTATGTGTGAGTCCATTGTTGCAGTTACTGTGCCAATCCATCTTATTGAAGATCTTCTACTTTTTCTACTGACCCGCTACTTTACCAACTATGATGTTCTTTTCTGGAGACTAGTCGCTTCGAACAGAATATCTAATGAGCATGGGACAAAGTCTCACCATCCACTTCTAAGAGCGTTCTGACTGTCCTCAAAGTTGAGGGTGGGAGAGAGTCAATTCTATCAAGGGGTCACTCAGGAAAGCTGGGTTCTCCTCCATATGGGGCGGAGAGAAGAGATAGAGGAAAACATTTTGAAAGTGTAGGGGCATGTGTGTGCACAGTAAAGTGGAGATTGCAATTCATTATCAAGAAGGTAGACTGATGGACAGTGATTGGTGAGGAGGTCTGGTGGGTGACATCAGAGATGACATGCATGGTGGTTTTCATATGCCCTAGGAGGCGACCGCAAGAAGGCAGCACCTAGATCTAGTTAGGCCTAACTAGAAAAGGCTTCTGGTGAACAGTCCTGAGTTAGGTCTAATCTTTTGTATGCATTTTATTTATCGGAAACCCTGGATTTTATGTGGTGATTGATTGGTGTTTGTGATTAAACACAAGCAAAGATCCATATTCTGTACTTCTCCAAGGTAGGAGTGGGAGAAGAAAAGGCATTTCTTCTCAGCTTTCCTGGATGGCTTCTTTGGCTACCCAGGACTCTCCTTTGATATGTGATACAGGACAGAATAGGCAGAGGGAAAAGAAAAGGCTCACAAAGTGGATGGAAGAGATGAGTAGATGATCCTCTTAAGCTAATTGAACCATTTATGCTAAGCAATGATTAGCCCATGTAATGGTTGAGAGCCTGTTATAGTCCTTCACTAAGACTCCTAGGATTGTAGTAAATCAAGATATAGCCAAACATTGCCTTTATAACTTCCAAGGAGGTAAAGCAAACACAGACACCACTCAAAACTGTAGGCCGTTGTCTTTGTTCTTAGCTACCTTTAAGACAGCCTCTGACTTATGGTGACCCATGCACAATGGGTTGGGCCATTGGGATCCTAAGGGAATGCCATTCTCATTGGTATGCCTCTGCATGTACTAGGACGGGCTCAGTGCTAAACAGTTGCTACTGAGTGGCTGCAGCCGTAGGTGTAAAAGCATCACAGTGATGAAGATGGTACAGGTATGGTGCTATACATAGGCTCACTATGAGAAGGGACCAACCTGGTGACACCTAACAGCAACATTCAGTTAATTCCAGCTCCTGGTGCCCCCTTATGTGTCAGAGTACAACTCTGTTCCACAAGATTTTGAGTGGCTAATATTTCAGAGGGAGGTGGCCAGGCTTTCCTTCTGAAGCACATCTGCATAAACATAAATCTCTAAACCTTTGATTAGCAGCTGAGCTTGGTAAGTGCCTTACTCAGGGAATCTGTGCAGTACTAACTCATATAATCCTTATGAGTCCTGTGGGTATAGATACTAATAATTGCCATATGAACACATCGATGTGTTGGGGTCAAGGGAGTGGGACTCCAAAAACTGTTTTTGCCCCTATTTCTATACTGTCTCCTTGTTGTTTTGTGTCGGAACAGAAAAAATAATACATATCCAGGCAAAAGCATGCTATGTGACAGAGACTGGTCTTCACATTGTATTCCTTAAGCCCTTCAGCCCATTCTTGCTTCACCCCAGGGCAGCTCTGCTTTTGGGCCAGTTTATTTAGTTTGCACTTCCACCTAAGGAATATATTTAAGCAACGTCTCATCAGCCGATTTTTAAAAAATACCACTGTCTTATGACAGGAAACACTTAAGTCTCAATCAAACACTTGAGCAAATCCTAAAAGCATTTTTAAACTCTATCTTCTGGCACACTTTTGGCAATTGAACAAAAGTAGGTAGTCAGGGTTCCAAATACAATTGCTTATGATTCTACAAGTCTGTCAAGTTCATCGCCTAAAAATCACATCTGAGTTATAGAAGGCTCTCTCTCCAGCAAAACAAAATAACTCCAGGGGGACATCCATCAGTATCTTCTTTTAAAGGGCTGCTTGAAATTATTGATACCTGTGACTGATTCCAAAGTTGTCAAGTAATCACTTACCCTCTTGGAGTTTTGGCCTCCACCTCACTTAGTGAGAGCACTGGACAGCCAGAGACCTTCCATAGATGCCCAATTGTTAGAAAAGCAGACCAATACCCGATCTTTCATAGTGCTAG